ACCTTAACACTTCGTTCCTTTCATATAAATTCCCGTGACAGGCGCCCATGTGATCAGATCTTTCTCAATGTGTTGGGCAAACAGATAACATGACTTACATAAATTACGTTTTGTAAATGCTTCGTCGAATTTCTTAAAGTTCCAAACTCTACACTTATATTTTTCTGAATAACACTGTCTTCAGAAAGCAAACAGTTCACAAGTATTGTACTTGTTATAGCTTCTTGTGCATCGCCTCTCGGTTTGTCAGATGCATGTCTAACATTCCTTTGTGATGTGTGCTTACTACTGCACATATTTACACTTCAACAGAAATTCACATCTAATTGTTAACTGTTCTTTTGGACAATGTTTTAGTTCATTTTCAATTTGGTGGATGATGACTCGCCCTGGAATCCAGGATATGCATATTATCCTACTTAGCACTTGTCACCTTTCTGTACCCGTAACTCTGAGTGAGTGCTCGTGTTGCAAATGAGACTCGAATCCAGTGACCATTGTTTCAAACGACAAAGCTTTATCTCCTCGAACGCATTGATGCGGGGGTGCACTAATGAAGTCCACGACTAATGCCTATCGTGCAAAAGTGCTCCAAGTGGTCTCTTAGGCAACGCTTCAACATTCGCTACGATTGTTACTGGCCTCGAATTTCAGTAGGAACAATTCCTATGTACTGTGAAGACATCTGAATGACGACTTTCTAAAGGGTCGAAATGCTCATTCTGGCTTCTGTTGCTAGTTACCACTCACCAAGTTACTTCAGTTTAGACCTTAGACACGGCCGAAGATTCAGTACTGGCAGTCACCATGTCAACAGAGGCCGAACATTTCGGTCTAACCAATCGACGGTAAGTGCGAAATTGGCTGAAACAAATAGTCACTCTCAATTTGTTCAATTTACACCATCTATTCATCATCCATTTCAACATGTCATAAGTTTTTCTAATGGCACTTATCAATTGTTTACCTCCACAACGCTCTAAGTCATTTGGTTTCTTTGCCTACATTAGTGTGTTTATGAGGCAGTATACTACATAATAGAGTATAGGATTAAATGTGTAAGACAACCAATCGGCCATCTCCTGAAACTTGCTGATTCAGTTAATTCTGCCTTACGCTTCGACTATATTTCGGATACCTATATCGATTGTGAAACTATGCTTTCACATTAATAGTGTATATTTATTATCATCAATAAGACTCGTATGATCAGCCTTCCTTTTTGCACTTTATTCGCATTATTCAGTGAAACAATCCACACAAAGCAAAATATTAAGCCGCATCATAATGGAGGGTCTAAAGGACGTTCTGGATACAAGACAACGCCCGGTACAATTTGGTTTCAGCCGAAAAAAATGGTATGCAGACCGAGTTGAAGCGCCACCTATCGTCGCGTAACAGAGCATAGAATGATACTGAAATCTCTTCCTCAGCTTCATCGACTTCGAAGAGGCTGTCAGTAGCATCTACCGTGAAGCATCTTGGAAGCTACTTCATCATTGTCGAATGCAGAGCAGTTGACCCATATGGATCACATTCAACAGCAGTATAATGATTCCGTACGCCAAGAGATTCACGAAGCCTTTGAAGTGAAGACAGGAGTAATTCAAGGCAACTTATTTTCACAGAGGAGAGTGATAAGATAGAGAGAGATACACTGGCCAAAATGAAGACTTTGAAAGATTTGGACTTCGCGGACGACCTGTGTCTAGTGTCACATAAACTCTAAGATTCGTAGGCAACGGCTAATAATAGTTCTCTAGCTGACGTTAATTTTTGATCACACTTGAAGCAGGTGAAATCAATTCTCTACAAACTAGCTCTTGTAATCCAATAAGTTACAAGTAATCGAGAAGTCCTATGTTTCACTCGGAACTCAAAAGAATAGTAATTAACTTCGAAAACTGGATTAGATGTGGTATGTAATTGTCAATGTGATTACATCTTCATGCTTTCATCTGTTCTTATAATTTCATATATCTCCTTGCGATTTGGGAGCTGAAATGGAAATCCGATTTACATACATTTCCTATTCTCGTGTTAGTTTGATGTTTACCGGAATCGTATTCTACTATTTCAGGTCTATACTTCTTTTGTTATAGCACCAGGTACTTCCTTAATTTCAGTAGAAACAGAATTATAAAAGTCATGAAAAAGTTGTCTCATTTGTTCACGAGGTAGAAATTTAATGCAATAAGATTACAAATAATTAAGTGAATGAAAAACATTTAAAATATGCAGAATGATAACTAGTGGTTGAAGGACAGTTCCAATTAGAGATGAGTTACGTTAACTAGAATGAAACGATACACAGAACATAAATACCATAACCCTGTTTTGGTACTTTTGCGTGATGTTTGGCATGCAATTGTAGTCTAAATCAAAACGATGCTGGATTTGTAACACTGAATCACTTAATGAATGGAATAACAAGTAAAAGTTTGAAATACAACGCGGAAGATGGCGAAAATTCAAACCATTAGATGGCTGATTAGTTTTGATAAAACACTTTATAGTTATATATCTATATTTATTTCGGCGGTCGTTTGTGGATATTTTCGGAAGATTGTTCAGTGCTTTCTTTTTGCATTCTCTGTAAAAGTAGAAGGAATTATTTGACAAAATGCATAAATGTTTTATGAATTAATGTTCATTAAGCATTTTGTTCAAGTTATTATCACCTATATCCATTGTAATTTCAGGTAGTCTGCAGCTAAGGAGAACCTGTGGAATAGAATGTTATCATTTTATGCTGCAAATTTTGTTTTCATTTATTTATCGAAATTCTAATGTATTCATTGCCATTCGCAGTTAAACTTAAGCCGAAAAGAAAATAGAGATATATCGGACATATAATGAGGAAAGCTTCCAAGGTAATTACACTTCACACAGTCGAGTAGAATTCAAGTGGGAAGCGACAGTGTTGGTGTCATCAGAAGAGGAAATAAAATCTTGATGAAAGTTTTCGGTGACCTATCATGTTTCTGGCGATTTATCTTGATCCTCACGACTACAAATCCTACTATTCGGTGAGGTGATACCAATGAGTAACAGAAGATCTGTCCGCCTCATCCAGAGTAAACATATCCACCTACTGTGTTTACCATCCCAATCAAGTGGATTACCAGAGAATGAATCCCTTTTGTGTGTAAATATAACCAGTGCTATTATTTTATGATTATCGCAAATATTTATCACACATTTGGTGGTTAATTTCTTTGTAGTTTTCGTGAAATCTCCCCCTGACTAACATCACATTTTGAAACCCATAATTTTGTTGATTCTTAATACTCAATCACTATTTAGTTATTTAATTTCATGTTTCTAGTGAGAGCACATTTTACAGGGACTTAAATATGGATCAAAATTTAACGACTATCATTCCATCTTGTACTTGTACCAGGATAAATTTTCTGTTATGATTATGATTTGCCTTTACTGGTACAATTGTTTGCTAAAGTAAATAAATTCATATTTGCAGAACCTGAAGAATAATTTATTGAAGGTGAATTGTCCCCTGAAATTACTCTTGTTCTGAATAAATTATGGAGACATCCAAATTATTTCACAACTGCCTTTTTCAGGTTTGACCACAGATTAATATCAGTTAGAGAAGCATTGAAATTCAGGGAGTGCAGCACATTTGTTTCGTCCTAGTTTGTGAGTCTTCTGAAGTACCCACCTACTACAGGGGTTCGAATATAGAACTTTCTAATGACAATGTGAGCTAGTAGACCATTCAATCACTAATACACAACTCAATGGTTGGTGAGTATTTGTCGTCACCGCTGATCAGGTGGACGCCACTGATCATGATTTTCCCTAGAATTCCAGGAAATTTCGTTCTGTAAGCAGTCACTAACTAGCATCAGACAAGTGTATATCGCCTGAAATATTTGCGAAATGCTTGATTGCAAATTGGTCTTCACAAGAGACTTGCATCAACTATTTGGATGAATGTTTACTGCACCAATAATCTGTACAAATTGAATAGTCTCAAAGAACTGAATCAAAGAATAGTAATTTGCTCTTGAGACCAATAAATTATCCCTTTATCAGTATGATGACGTTTGTCTGTTACTTTCAAATCAGTGACCATATCTTCTTTTCAGTCTCAAAAATATAGACAGGCACTTTTGGATTAAAAATGACTCGTTAAGTTAAATCTTGTGAAAACATTATATTGATAAAGTTATTCTGAATAGAACACAAGAGATTTTCATATGACTTGCTTGATTAATTCTTCAATTAATGACCTCTGACGAATACTTCTCTTTCGTCTTCATCTGTTATCTCCCAATCTGATTGACCTGAACAAGTTAAAAATGATAAATGATCACTTAAATTGAATAGGGCGCTAATTTATTGATATTATGATGTGAGGTTCATTTATCAAAATTGTATTTCGTCTTTTAAATTATTAGTGCTCTTGAGTCTACAATCTCACAAATACTCATGTACAGAAATATGAAACATCTGCATATCCTTTTCAATTGAGAAGGATGTTTTCCGAGGCTGACTACTCTTCTCGATTGAGTGTTTCTGGAAACCGTCTACTCTAATATCGGTGAAAGAATGTTGCCGTAGATCATTTCTTCTCTGTGCATCTGTTGTTTCATCTGATACTTGGAAATAAAAGAGGCTGGTGACTGCATTAGAAATTTGTCTTACAAAACTGAGTGGTCATTTATTCGACAAATTCAAGCAAATTCGTAAATCAGATAGATCCGCCGATCACTTTTTAACATAAATATCAAATATGTGTATCAGCTTCTTAGATTTGTTCATTTACTGACAAGTTTAGGCGGTTCGTAGCACATTCGTACCGCATGGAAATCACTCTAGTATAAGACGAATGTATCATTCTTGAATAACTCCTTCAAGCATCACTGTAACATTTTATGTTCTTAGACTAATTAATTCATATGATAAGTGAGTAATTACACTTTAGTCTGCTTGCGAATAATAAAGAATAGTATATAGTTAGGTAATTTAACTACCTTTATCCTTGCTGAATGGCTTTTTCTCTCTCAGTATAACGCGTTCGTTTGGACCACCTGGAAGGAATGAAACAACCAACATACCACATTATTCTAAACTTTTGTCTAGAGGATGGTATTATATTCAATAACTTTGACTTTCAGATAGGGTAAGTGTAATCTCAGATCACACTAAGAGAATATATTTTTTACATCAGTCTGATAATATACCAGAAGCAATTATCATTTGCTTGGACATTTACAGTCCAAATGTGGGTGACGTGCTTCTCTCCAGTTCTATCACGAGCTGACATCAGGTAGAGAACCTTTGGGAAGTTGGGGAGTACTGGGAAGCTATTTCTTCTACATTTGGGACTCATCGGCCGTATACACCCATCAGAGTTCAATCTCAAGACCTTCCGGTTACAGGCTAATCTCGTAGAAAATTCAGCCACTGGGAGTCAATCTAATGACCCATGAATTCTATCTGCTACTTATTCTTGATTTCAGCACCACCACCGTGCAATGTCATCGGTGAGTATTTGTCCTCATGCCGGATATGGTGTATCTCACTGGTCATGACTTCTCAATAGAACTGCAGGTAACTTCGGCGCGTAAGTAGTCACCAACGTGTTAAAGTTTCTTGTCGTCGAACAACAGATATCCAGAAAGAAGTGAAGACTGGACCGTATGTACAGTCAGGACACCCTCAGATGGAATTAGACCCAACAACTAGAAAATAGAACCACTTCACCTTCCTTCTCACAAGGATTTGAAATACTTGAATAAACCGGAATTAGAGCGCTTGTGAGACATTGTCATTCAGAATGCATAACAGTTCGCATTCATTGAAAAACATTTTAAGAGAAAAATGATTTGAAAAACCCAGGAACACAAAAGAACTAATCTGTTGTCATTCTGAAATGCAAAGGTACGAGTTTTTCAGACCATTTATAAAGAGGAATTCAAAAGCGCTATTCGCTGTATCTCTCCTCTGCATCATTCATCGAAACGTCGAAGACACTCCCAAATCCTTTTTATTTGATGAACAATATTCCTCTCTCTAAATACTTACTGTTTAGTAAACATTTTTGAAAAATTTATAGCACTTATTTCTTAGGCTGTGTAAGATTATTCAGTCACGTTTAGGAAGCTGCAGATATTGCTGCTTGATATAACATCAAGTATACTCTAGTACTGAGTGAAGTTGATGCTTGTTGACACCCAACATGTATACTTCACCGTCCACGTTTGACAAAGGACACCAGAGTAGTAATATTTGTAAAACTGACGTCCGTTTTCAGTGTAGACTTCGTCAAGAACCATCACCACTTCAAGACGATTAAAAACCATGGAGCAGTCAACGGCTGTTCTGTCCCAGTTTGAGACTGTTCAGTAATGCACAAACATCACCTCACCAGGCGCCTTACCCAATATCATGAGTATATGAGGCCGAGTTCGTTGACCACTCAGCCATCTAAAAATTAATTTAATGACTCGTGAATTCTGACTTCTGTCAGTCCGTGATATGGCGCCATCCGTAACCAGTTTCTTTGATGACTATGCAATGCGCCTTAGCATGAATGACCTCACTGGCTACGACTTCTCAGTAGTGCTCCAGGAAATCCATCCATCTCCATCAATGATTTGTAGAGTGACATTTAGATTGTAGATTTTCGTGGGGATTTGTTTCTTTATGGCTTCAAAACACATGGATATATTTTATTTAAGGAATGTTTGATTTATAGTGACCGTACTGTTCTCTACACACATATTTTGCATAATATCAAGTGGTATCACACTGGTGATTCAGGGTTTGAGTGGTAAACACTGGTTTACTACAAAGATGGTCAGGTGTTCGATTCCCTACCGACGTGATCTTCAAATACCTGGTAGTAAAACCGGTAAAGTAGTGTGGTTTGGCATGAGGCTAGCAGCTCCACCCAGTAAAAAGAAACTCCACTGATACTGAAAATTCAAAGCTCAAGCTGTATCGCAGTGAAGTCAGTTATTATCAGTTCGACTGTATCTGGACGTTCATTCTGTTAAGGTAGTTTGAATTTCTTCTTTTGTCCTGTAAAATTTACTGCTGAAGCATATTTATACTAATATACTGAAGGGTATTTATCATATAAACTTTACTATTGAATTAACTGGGGAAAATGAAATCTACCTCGTTGAATCTTTTCACCTCTTTTCACTGTACCAACAATTATTTCTCTTTCCGATTCAGTTTCTGTTTCCCATCCAGGTTCATCTGAGATGGAAGAAAAAATATTATTTCATTGTAATTTTAGTACCAAGTATCATGCATAGATGTTTCTTGAATAGTTTTTAAACCTGAAAAATAACACTGTGACAAAATGAAAGATTTAGTGCATAATGGCCTATAGTTTCTTATGCTCAGATGATGAACGAAATACTGGCAAGCACATGCAAAATATTATTACCTAAAGATTTTAATTTATCTAGACTGTGAGGTAGGCAGCACAGATGAGGAGGTTGAAGCCAGCCAGAATCAGAAAAACAAAGCATACCTTCATTACTCTGAAATCAGTTTCGAATTCTACTACACACAATATAGAGAACAACATTCGCCTCTTCAGCACTCAGGTCGAATCAGTCAGTGCTTCTACATAATCCAGAGGCTAGGCGCACACGTCATTCAAAGCATTCCCATAAAGTTTCAGAATTTCATCAATGGCTGTCTTGGCTACATACGGACGGTCAGATGGCCTACCTGAAAGGATAAGCAACGAGAAACGCTGGCAACAAACCAACCTAGAATCTGTTGCCTAACACATATCCAGAAGGTTATGAATCGGACACACACTAAGGACTCCACTAAATAACATCACATGCTCAGATGGCCATGGATCCCAGAGTGACACGGAGATTATGTGGGAAGGAAAAGATAGCTTATAGGTAATCTCGGAACCAACTTTAAAAGACAGCTGGGAAGACAGTGCTCTTTAAGCCCCACGTTCCCTCTGGAACCCAAGGGAATAGTGATAATCAAAGACTATGGGATACACCCATCCTTGACTGATTTCATGGTTGCTTTTGATAAAAATATCAAACTAGCTAGATGTCACTTGAAAGACAAGAGAGAATTAAGGTGAATCAAGACCACTATCTAATAATAATCATACTTTGCTTGAATTATCTTGTTAGGTGAGTCAAGGATTCTACTATCTCAAAATAAATCCTATTGCCTATCACCTTCATGCTTTCGTTCAGTTTTGTAATTTAAAATGCACTCCAAACATCAAATGTTTTGAATGTCATTTCTTTCTACGTAATTATTGAATTCTAAGGCGATATGATATTGAGTTTAACAAGGAATACCACAGTATTATTTTAAGGAATAACTTCGAAGTATCGGACATTATTCATAATATCATTATTATTAATACTACTATTGGTGGCATTACCAAACCTACCTGTTTCTTCCTTCTCAACAGGTTTATTCGCATCCGCAATTGCGAGTAGCCTTTCCATCTCTTTCTTGATCTCATCATCTAAATAAAACAGAATTAAATAGTCAACACACTGAAATTGCAAAAGCTTGATAGAAAACTATTTGGTCGCAATTACTGTAGCGATTCTATGCAAATCTCCCGATTATCTGTAATCAAACAGCTCAGGGTAATGTTTTGACGATAACTTCTTTTATGGGCTTGAAGTATTGTAAATACAATAGTTGGTATATTTTATATCACAGACTGCTTTTCACTGACACACATAGACGCCTTGTATGAGTAGCTACGATTTGCTCAGTGTACATCTCGGAGTATTGCAAACACTGAGTCGCTGCTCAGTTCTACTAAGACTAAGTTTGTAAATAATGCTTGATATGAATATGAGCAATAGTTTATGCTCGAAACGTCATCAGTTAATATTACTGTACAACACTGTGTGATTTATCAAAATAAAATCTTATCCATAATGGAGTTATGCTCTACCACAGTGCCCAGGTTTTATACTTTTATTTCTAACTAATGCTAGTGTATTTGTTGAAATTATTATCTTGAATTTTCCACTAATGCATTATATAGAACTGAAGTACAGTATCTCTGTAATACATCCATCGGCTGGTTGATATTTGACTAATACACTGGCTACTATTTTGATCAAGAAGCTCGTTACTCATCGTACTTGAGACTTGTATCCACATTTCCAACTGAAAAAGCATAATTCACTGTGGATACTGACAAGTCATCAATCGGATGGAACTTAACTTCCTGAAGTCCTCTGCAAACAATCACCAATCAAACAACATAATTGTAGTGTACATTATTCGCGTAATTAGAGTGCCGACGACTTGATATATTTTGACTGTTGAGGCTTTCGTTTAAGGTGAAATACTTTTGGCAAAGGATGTTCACATTGCAAGTCATTATATAAACTACTACTTAATTGGGACTGAAGTGCGCATATTGTTACAGTTATTCTAACTCATTTTACTGAATGAAATTTAACCGTTTGTAGGATGCAACGCAAACGTTATCTCAAATAGTGGGCAAATATATAACACTATACTAAACGATCTCGGAGACACTCACTATACACTGTACCACTTTACTTGTACTTGTAAATTCGAAAAACTAAGGAGGAAGTTTTCTTATTCAAATTCAGATATTATAATTCATCGTAGAGAGTTGAAGTATCTGATATATCATAAATCGTGTAGTGTTCAAATCACAAAGTATCAAGAAGCTTCATCTGAATTCACTTCTATCATGTGTTGGTTTGTTGGAGTTTGATTCGCTACAGGTGTGATGACGAAATAATAAATCAGGGAATACTAAAACTTCGTTTCTCTGCAGAAATAACTGTAAATCTCCAGGCTTCTCATTGCTACAACAGAGGCGTATTCAGTATTGAAGACTAAATTCCTTCTGTTTAAGAATGATTTACCGGAAAACCTTAGGCAGTATACACTCATTATGCTGACAAGATGCCATTCTGCAATTCAGTAAACTTATGACTGTGTCCCTTTTAACATTCCTTGCTATCCGAGTGGCAGATACGGCTTCTGGTTTGAAACCTTAAATTTACAGCAGCAATGATATCGTTTGCGCGGTTTTTACTGGCCTCACACCTAACCTCACCTCTGTCTCGGGCTCATTAGAGGCCAGTTAAGGTTCAGAGTGCGTCACTGGATGGAGATTGAACCCCGAATCAAGTGAGTATATATAGGTGTGCATTAATACGCCAATTTCAAAAATATATATTGATATAATTTCAGTTTACCTTTATAGTCAGATAGGAATCGTTTCAGGCTAGCGTCAATTACATTGGTGTAGCAAGAACTCTCCCAGTCTTCGTTATCTACATCAAACAAAATATTTTATTGAGGTAACGAAGCGAATAAGAAATGTGGAACTCATTACAAGGATGAGATCCAAAATAATTTTTAAATAAAGATAAAATCACGAGTCAAATAATTGCAGTAAGCACTTGAAAATCTAATTCTATTATCACTTGAGTGATTATCATAGCTCACCTGTTAGCCTGTTAATTACATTGCAAAAGTTGATTATAGTTCTGAATTAAGGAAATAAGTAGCAAGCATGGATCTAATGGAGATCGTCCCCTTCATTTTATTAGACGGGATCTTTTCAATTACGAAGATATCAAGACCAGCCGGGTTGTTGTGAGGGAAAGCAAGAGAGGTTTTCAATACTCTGAAATAAGCGTTGAGATCTACAGCATTCACAACAAGAAGCAAGATTCGAATTTTCAACATTGATGTCAATGCAGTGATTCAGTATGCTTCAGCAACTTATTACATCACCGAAATAATTCCTGACATGTTGTAGACTTTTATCAGCACCTGCCTCGCTCCATAATGAAAGTCAAATGGTCCGACAGAAAGGATATGCTACAAAGAACTCTGGTGATGAACCAACTGACAACATATCACCGAAAAATATTCTGAAGGAAATGCAGATAGATTGGAGAAATTCGGAGGAGATCATTAACTGACATTTAAAGCCATGCAGCTTCCCGAGCATAATCTGAGTGAGAGGTGACAAGTGGGATGTGACTCAATTATGTTGTTGGACTAGATCATGTGAAGAAGAAAGTAAGCCTATAGGCAATCGTGTAGTGAGCTAGGAAACACACTGTAGAACATGGTGAAATGGAGATGTGTCTTTGAAGTTTTATGTTCCATTTGGAATCCAATTAACGAATAATAAAAATAATGTGTAAGAGGTGTTGAGAACCAACTAGCCCTGTAAGTATTGACACTTAACCTTCAGTTATTTTGCCGTATTAACACTGAGAAACGTCGTCATAAGTCAGATGCACCCAGTCGGACACCTAAAACGTTGGGCTTCAGAAGTAACTGGAATACTGACTGCCGATAACATTTGTGATAATTAATGAAGATAAGTGATTGATTTTAGGTGCTCATCAAATCAGTGACATTTTGAAGAAATGGATGAAGAGTGTGTGACTTTCTGGATTTAAAACCAGTGATTTAACAGCAAATGTACAATATTCAGTGGTACAATCATTAAAGCCTAGCTGTATCTCTCATTACTTTGAGAAATACATAGATGCAGAAAGGTCGCTGAATGAGCATACTTTTCAGAACCTGAAGTTGAATGAATTAGCTGTGATGGAATACTTACTAATGAATACAATGGTCTTCACTCATAATTATCCAGAAACTGCGTACAAGTCTTTCATTCCTTTGTCTGGAGACTTACTGACATTTTTATTGTTTTTAATTCTTTTGCGTTCCTAGTGGAACATAAAGCTTGAAGCTAGAGCTTTGAATTTACAGCAACACTGGTGTCTTTATTGAGTGAGTTTGCTAATGTAAACCTTTCTCTAAGTTGTTTTAACAGATATCACCTCTGATCATGTCTACAATTATAATGGCCTTGACTTTTAGTTTCTTCTGAGGAAAGGAACACTTGGAACACACGTATCAGTGACTTTGTTTAGTACAAACGGGAGAAGGAAAGAAGCAGAAGTATGAGAATAGAAGCTTAGAAAGTGGATCTAAGTGAAACAGACGAAAAAGTATAAAAATATACACTCTGGAATATTAACATGCGACAGATAAACACTGAGGTAGAGTAGTTTAAAATTGAAGACAATTCATATGTGTGTGGAATTATTACGAAGGGTTCCGTCCTCGTAATCATGGCTGTGTTCAAGTGGCAATTAGGAATCCTAGATTTTATGACTGGTGCAGTCAGCATAGACAGTGTTGAGATCAATCTCAATAGAAAATGATTAGGGATCAGTGATTTAATAAGTGAGCGAAAGGAATGGTGAAATCTAAAAACTAGGGTACTTACCTTTCTGAGGTTTAGCACATCGTTTCCCACACTTCTTCTTGGCTATAATAATAAGAAAGACAGAGAGAAATATACGGCCGATGAAAATATTTTCTAGTGTTATGACAAAACACAGATACCATCCACCTTATTCCTTTAAATTTCGAATGAAGTATAGTGCTGCATGCTTTAAGCCTTGAAGTTTCTTTAGCAGTATTTTTTTCATTTCCTTACTCCCAACCTTTCATCTTTAGTGAGCTTACTGCCGACTAAGCAGGGTTAAGGAGTGCACCAGTGACCAGGAATCGAACCCCAGATAAAGTGCGTGGTTGAGAAGTATTCTACTGCTAAACCACCTGTTCACGAAACACAAGTATTTCACTGAAGAATTACCAGTATGCAGTGATTTTTATCCATGGATGTTTCCATATACAACGTCTTACTGCCAAATGACTGCCATCTGCTTGAAGTATTCAACTGAAAGGTGTAAGCAAACTATTTTTCAGATTTTTCATTTGAATTATGCGGTCGGATTGTCTGTTAAACATCCTGTTTATGGTTTTATTTCTTTCTCTCTTTGAATACAGTATACTTTGAAAACTACTTGAATAAAGTACAAGTGATCATAAAACACTTGTAATTCTATTTCTATTTCTTCACGAATAACTTATAATATAACAGTTATTGTAGTCTCAGACTACTTCTTATAAGTCATGGTCTTTATGTTATCAACACCTACCTTCGCCGCATACCTAAAATAGATGGCCGGTCTGAGAGGATAAGCAACAAGGAACTACGGCGTGCTGGCAATCATAGAGCTGAGTAAACTATTCTTCAGAAAACACATTGAAATAGAGAAGTGATGGTGGAGGCCTATGTTCCACTCGGAATCCAGGGGAATCAAAACAGTAATCTATATCTAACCTGATCCTTTCGAATGCATGGAAAGCGACAATTCCTTAAAATAATGGAGGAAACCACCTGCTCATTCATGGTGAGTGCTTTCAGCGTTAATACGCTTCATGGATGATTAAGTCAAGAAGCATTTATACACCATTACAGATCACATCTAGATGATATAATAGAAGGAAACTAAGGCTTCCAAACTGAAAGACCCATCAGCACAAGAACTAAAAATATTATTCCTAGAATGGTCCTACTGTTAGTTGCTCCTGTTATCTAAATTGGCACCTTGTGAGAATGGCGATTTAGCTGGTGTACAGTATCTCCGTCTTATTATTCAATTGACTTAGACAAATTAGACATATTCAAAGTTGAAACACTTACCTTGTACATCGGACACGCCATACGAATATACAGCAAGCATAACGAAAATGAGCACGCTTAACTAAAGTGAAAATGAATGAAAGAAAGAAAGAGGGTTAATTAGGTACTGTTTTACAGCAATGAAGCACTTACTCTCTTGTACTCCATTGTCACAGTATTTCAAAGTGAATTCCACTCGATGATTACAACCCAAAATCTCCGTTGAATTTAAAGTAAAATTATGTCCAATAAGATTGATTAAAACACTCGAAAATTGATAGTTTTAATGATTGCATCGTGAAGATATCAACTCATTATTAATTTTATTAACTAATATAGGTAATGTAAGTCAAATATAGAAAATTTTGTCGAATTATTGGCAAATTTCGATCTGCATGAATGAATTAGTTTTTTTCATATGTGAGTTGATTAACTGTTCCTTATTCACCACAAACGGTAATCGACCAATTTAGTATTTCATTTTGTTTATTATTCAAATAATACTCATTGGGTTTCTAAATATATAACACGTTGATTCACTTCTTCAATAAAATTAATTTCAGTGAAATTCAATCTCAAAGCTTATAGAAAGCATTCCTATAGAGTATTCCATACTCAAAAAATAATCCTTGATGTTTCACTTCTTTAGGCATTCAGAGTTAATAAACATGTAGAGACAAGTAGAAACGTTTTCTACTGAGCTGCATGAACGCGAGAATCACTTCTTGAGAAACGCATATTGTTTTTTGTTTGCTCGGTTTCCTCTTGACAGTTCACATGGGACTCAATGGTGGCATTTTTGGTCCTTGAATCGGGATGTCATTAATACCTTGTGATGATCCTTGATGTTACTTTATGGGAGGTCGAGTCCAGGACGCACGTTCCATTCTAATTGTGACTTATCAACTAGAATGCACCTGCATCTCTAGTGAGTGGTGGTGTTCGCAGTGAGTCCTTAACGTATGCACTAGACCATTAGACTATGAGAGTCACATTTTATGCCCTGAGCACCAAGCATTTTGGTCCAATAAAACCAATCATTGGTGTCGGTGGTTCAGTGGCAGAAAATTCGCTACCGCTGTCAGTGTTATGGGGCTCGTCACCGACTCACTGATAAATTCCAAAGGGTCGGTAGCAAACTCGATGGATGGGAAGGTTAGTGATGAGGCTAGCAACCAAATCCCGTATAAAGAAACACCACTGCTGCTGAATTTTTAATATGTTTGTGCGTTGAAGTTTTTGTAGCAATTTGGTTAAGTTTTCGGAGTGGAGTTGCTGGCACCACGCCCCAACCCTCCCTCTTTATCCGAGCTTGGGATCGGCTAAAATACTAGTGACATAGTAATCTAGGCGAGAATCGGAAAGGCGAGGAACACATTCATCAACCTGAAACCAATCTGGAAATCTTAGTCACTCAGCCTGCATCAACAACAAAATTCGGATTTTCAATACAAACGTCAAGTCAGTTCTCCTATACGGATCAGAAACTTGGCGGGTCACAAAGAATATTTCCAACAGGTTGCAGACATTTATCAACAACTGTCTTCGTTCTATACTGAGGATCAGATGGCCGGAAAGAATCACCAACCAGAAACTATGGGAACAAACAAAACAAGAACCAATCGCCCAAAAAATATGCAAGAGAAACTGGAGATGGACTGGACACTCGCTGAGGAGGCCGTTGGGTGACATCGTGCGTCAGACCATAGCTCGAGTGGAACTCAAAAGGGCAGCGGCGAGTGGGACGTCAGTGCAAGGGTGACATGGAGGAGATCGTGTGAAGAGGAGCTGAAACAGTGTGGACTAACATGGATTCAGGTGAAAAGTGCAGCAGAAGACAGAAGCAAGTGGAGGCGTGCAGTTGAAGCCCTATGTTGCACTAGGAACCCAAGGGAACAATAATAATAATAATAATGCTGCTGCTGAAAATTCAGGTCTCACGTTTGAGTCCCTTTGTTCCACTGGGAAAGCAAACGGAATAAAATAAAAAATATCAATGAAAGGAAAAACTCAGAGTAATATCAGCAAGTAAAAACGAGAAGTTTCTCGAACGAATGGCTACCTTGTTATTTTTTTGTTTGTTTATACACAATTTACACTTTATATTCAACACTTAGTTCCTGGTATCTGTTATCTGACGGAGAAGTTTCACATTAGTATGAGATTAAAACAGGTAACTGAACTAATTTCCAATCATAAATACAAGCAAAACACTAATATTGTAGGGTTATGAAAACAAAATTTTCATTAGTAGACACTTAAAACTAAAGAAACTTGACATCTCTCGAGGCAGTGTAAGTAACTTTGAAGCTACGATTGCTTGGGTGAATCAATCCTTTATAGATGCACCGTTGTATTTACGACATGTTTGCTTCTTTAGACACCCTGATTTTTTTATACTAGAGGAGCTTCTCTTCTTAAATGTGATCACTAAAACGAACGGAAACCTACAGTGTATTGCTTCCAATTGATTAGGTTTCAGGCACGATCCAAAAAGTTCCTTTCAGTGTAGTTCAGCTTACTGTTGTAAGGGAATTAATAATTAATGGTGTTCATGTTTGTTAATGGGATTCACACATATGAAACTGAATATATATATATATTCAGTAATTAACTAACTGCTGTTCAAGTGATGGTTTGCAGGGATTTTATTGATAACAGTTTTGGTCAAGAGATGACACCAGTTAGAAAACTATATGATAAAGGACCTTTCCGGTTAAAGGGCGAGCTAGTAGACCATTTAGCCACTGGGAGATGATAAAGTGGCACATGAATTCCAACTTGTGCCACTTCATGACAAATAGAGTAACTTCCTACCATTGTCAGATAGTGGTCAAACCTGTTATCAATCAAATTCCTGCAAGCCAAGATTTAAAAATTAATCGGATATTCAGTAGCTACTGCCAACACACAGGAAGTAAAATGGAGGTCCAGTGAGAAATCATGCACGAAATCATGCAAGAGGACAGTTACTCGTCTTCGACATTCGATGGTAGTTGAGCTACGTATGGCAAATCAAGGGACTTTGGAATTCATGTGCCACTTTATCATCTCCTAGTGGCTGAATGGTCTAATAGCTCGCGCTGTAACCGGAAAGGTCATTTTTCATATGGTTCTCTAACTTGTGTCAACTTGTGACTAAGCCTGTAACCAATAGATTTCCTGCAAACCACCACCTGAATAACAGTAAGTAACTATTACAGCAAGTCTGATGAACATGTTGATTCACATCCCTGCATTAGTCTTCAATTTTCAAAAATTGTGCGTTGTTCAATCCACTTGTTGATACAGTTTGTACCCTTCAAATCTGCGTATTAATTCTCTTCGTTACTTATAACACCCTTGATATTTTGACACCGACAAATTATTGGTAGCAAACATATCGCCAAATGATTAGTATTGTGTATTGCATTAAGTGTGCTATATTTATTAGGACTCAATATTTAGAGCGAACAATTGTTGACATTCTAAAATGTCGACTTAATAGAGCATTAGATAGAACATTTCCTGCAGCTAAACTGGAACTCAGCTTCTCAACTAAAACAATACTCACACAGCAAGTAAAGGACAAATTACCAAAGATGGCCTCATCAATGTGTATCTACGAATTCAACTGCTCATGTGGAGCTAGCTAGTTACATTGGCCGTACTCAGAGGGCTTTATCCATGCGCGCGCGTGAACATGTACCTGTATGGTTGAGTAAAGGAGTAACCAAGTGTGTAAATAGTGCATTCTTAGCCCGCCTGGTAGATACTGGACACCAGATAAAACTTGACCAGGCGTTCTCAGTTATTTACCGCGTTCCTAGTAATTTATCTAGAGGAGCTCGACTGCGTCTTCTATCAGTAGCTGAAGCGGTGGCAATTAATACCAGAAGACCATCTCTTTGCATACAGAAGAAGTATGTTCAACCTCTATGTTTACCTTGGCCTACAATAAAGCCAACAAATCCTCCATTAACACTATAAATTCCTTTCACAATTTTCTTTTCTTTTCTTCTTCTTCTATTCCTCTGTTTCACTGACAATCGTTCATTTTCGACTTTTATGATTTCATGATCTTTCTTATGATTTTATTACCTTAGGTTTAAGTAGTGCTTTTATAACTTGCTATCGTATTTACAAAATCCTGTTCATTCCACTTCATTATATTCATTATTATTATTTGACAATCATTCACCAATAGTGCTTGTAATTTTACACCATATCATCGTTATTATTTTACAATCATTCTTAATGTCGTTATTTTCAAACTTGAACTTATGTCTAGACCGCCCCGTTCGTTGGTTTATTTTCATATTGCCTCTCAGACACCCTGATTACATACACTCTCGAAACCTGTATTTTCTGTTGACTATATTTATATATATACACACATCAATAAATTAAATTACTTCATCTCATTTTGTCCCATGTTCTCATTGACCATGCATATTAAAAAAAACTAACTGACTATTGTTCCCTCCCATCTTATACTTGTTCCACAATACCCTTTCTGATATGATTCTAATTTGCCTTTTCTGGCTATTGTATGCTTAAATTAATGGATTTATAATTGTAGAGCCTGAAGAAGAATATATTGAAAACAATTGTTCGCTCTAAATATTTTGTTCTGAATTAATTATGGGAATATTCCATTTAGTATAAATGTTTGACCAGAACCAGAATTTATGATATAATTGAAAAGTAGTTATTTCTTCGCTTAATCATCTTGATTCGTATATTGAAACCTGAGCATTGTCTGAAAGACAAATACACTTATTTCATAAGGTTATCAACGATGAAGGTTCACTTTGAGTTAAGGAAACTGAAGTGGGTACCGTTAACTAAGTTCACTTTTAACGGTTTGAAAAAATTTGGGCATTGGGTGTATGATATTCATTATTATAAAGATTTTTGTATTTCCCAATAAATGAAAAACAAAATTGATTATGAAATGATAAACTGAAGCTATAGAGAGAGTAAATAAAGCTAAATAGAAACAGTGAACTATTTATCGTTTCCAGGGAAATATTGAGAATACCTAACTGATACAGTAAAAAGATAAATAAACTCCGGCGTTTCTTACCTAAATGAGTCTTTCATATCTTTGCGATGTGTCTGGTCTATGTATTCAACAAATACACTGTAATGTTCATATCACTTTGGTTTAAAAGCTGTTTGAAAGGTAACTGAACATGATGATGTTCT